TTCTTCCCATCCACCTCCATATTAATTTATAAATGGCTGTTCTTCCCACCCACCTCCATATTAATTTATAAATGGCTGTTCTTCCCATCCACCTCCATATTAATTTATAAATGGCTTTTCTTCCCATACAGTATACCTTCTGAGCACGCAACAACCACTCCATCGGCCGAAAAGTGTCAACGATCTCATGCCCATGATTGGCGCGCGTTTCTACACGGAACTCGAATCTGAACAAACGTGTACAGATATCTTAGAGACTGAAATAAGTAAGGAGTTGGAGAATGGACGCCTTTTCCGGCTGATTGCCAAATTAGGGTTTGTCAATGAGCGGCCTGAGTATGCCATGGACCCGAGCTGGTCGGAAACCGGGGACCGATATCTGCTCAAGTTGTTTAGGGACTATGTATTCCATCAGGTGTGTTGTATGATAATCAATTAACGTATTCCATCAGGTGCGTTGTATGATAATCAATTATCGTATTCCACTAGGTGTGTTGTATTATGAACACTTGCGTATTCAATCAGGAGTGTTGTATGATAATCAATTAACGTATTCCATTAGGTGTGTTGTATTATGAACATTTGCGTATTCCATCAGGTGCGTTGTATGATAATCAATTAACGTATTCCATCAGGTGTGTTGTATGATAATTAATTAACGTATTCCATTAGGTGTGTTGTATTATGAACATTTGCGTATTCCATCAGGTGCGTTGTATGATAATCAATTAACGTATTCCATCAGATGTGTTATATGATAATCAATTAACGTATTCCATTAGGTGTGTTGTATGATAGTCAATTAACGTATTCCATTAGGTGTGTTGTATTATGAACATTTGCGTATTCCATCAGGTGCGCTGTATGATAAGCAATTAACGTATTCCATCAGGTGTGTTGTATGATAATCAATTAACGTATTCCATTAGGTGTGTTGTATGATTATCAATACGTATTCCATTAGGTGTGTTATATTATGAACAATTGCGTATTCCATCAGGTGCGTTGTATGATATCAATTATCGTATTTCATTAGGTGTGTTGTATTATGAACAATTGCGTATTCCATCAGGTGTGCGGTGTGATGAATAATTAACGTATTGTAACAGGTGTGTTGTGGGATACACACCGTCGTAGGTATTACACTGTTGCTCGCTGGCGGTTGGTTGTATAGACACAATTGTCAAGAATTGTTCTACCACATTTGTGTACTAATTTGCAGTATTAAGTTTGGCTTCATCACATGTGTACCACGCCCTGGTTATGCGCTGTGGCGCTACAGCAGCAGGTCACTGAATCCTATATTCAATTCTGGCGTTAACACATCTGTATACCCCCAGCTCTAATATTATAGTCTACTAGTTAGGTACACCTATATAGATTCAAGCACCGTGGTTAATACGGTCATTCTGTGGGTGTAAGGGGGGGGAGGGTTTAGGCTGGAGTAGGGCTACTCGTGTGTATGGGAACTTTTCTGGTGAACTTGTTTGGAAAGATTCACGTTATATATGTTACTGTATGTAATTGGCAATATATATAAAATTTAGCTACTACTATATGTATACGCTACTATATATCATTTGCTACATATACTATATGTACACTACTATGTATCATTTTCTACACAAACTATATGTAGACTCCTATATATCATTTGCTACATAAACTATATATACACTACTATGTATCATTTGCTACAAATATATGTCGGCCATTGTTACATATACCTCGATGGCACATGGGCTGCGCCACACTAATTCTCCTGATGTTTCTACTGCTATCTAGGTGTCTGAAACGGGGGATCCTTCAGTATCGTTGGCGCATGTTGTCCATTGTTTGAATAAGGTATGTCGACATTACAAGACACGCATGCACATGTACATATGTACGTAAATCGGTATGCACATACGAGCTCATTCGTAGTCTCGAACGGTAATGTTTGTCTTCAGGCGTCAACATCATGCCCGGCTGTATCGCTCATTTGGAACCTTAGTATGACATTTTATTCACAAATTATATATAAATCTATACACACATACACACACACACACACACACACACACACACACACACACTACACACACACT